CCCCTTCTACTTCGCCAGGCTGAGGCCCCTTCTTTTCAGATGGGACATAAGAGGACCTAGTCGAACCTAGAAATACGAAAAATTGGCTCCCTCGCAATTTTTTCTTTGCCGGCCCCTATTTTTAGAAGTGCAAAAGAGAACTCGGGTTTAAAGCTGTCAGTTTTATTGAGGAAACACAAAATTATCATAGCATAGTGAACACGGGTTCGGGCAAAGCAGTCAGCAGCGGCCATTGCATTAACAAGAGAAGAAAGTTGATCAATGGAGACTGAAGAAAAATCAGGGTTGCCCTTACGGTGATTGCTAACCTAGTGTCGGTGAAATTCTTACTCTAACACCTCCACTCGATACACAGTTTTACAGATTAAAATGTGGATTGTCTACAAATTTATTTCAACTTCTTTTTACTTAAATGCTACAAAAATTTTGAGTAACCCAAGTAGCATGGATTATGGATTGCAATGTCATTGCAATGGATTGTGAGTTGATTGCAATTTTTGCTTGTTGCCTATACGTTCATTTGAAGGCGCTGAAAATTTTGCAATTTAATTGGAATGAGTTTGCAAGAAATGGAGGTTATGCATGTTGCCTAACCTTCTTTTTCAAGGCACTATAAAGACTGCAATTTCGGTGCAATCAAGTTGAAACAAATTCACGCCATGTGCCTAGCATCCAATTTTCTGGTTGTTTTAAAATTTTTCGACTTAAATGTCTTACCTAACCCAGATAGCACCTTTATCAAAATATTTTCATGACAATATTGTAATTAAAATATTTTTAAAATGTTTTTATCACATTTTTAGGGAATATTTTGAAAATTTTTCAAAAAATATTTTTGAAATAATTCAAAAATGTTGCCTGTAAGCATTTTTAAAATATTCCTTAAGAAAGTTTTGAAAATATTTTAAATATATTTTTTGAAAATATTTTTAAGTTCTCAAGTTAGTATGTGGTGTAAAATACACCAGTGTAAATTTAGTGTAAGTACCTAGTACGTAATATCGAAAAAAAAATAATAAGAGGAAAAAGAAAGAAGAATGAGAAAACACGGCGTTATAATCAAAGCTATGATGAAAGTTGAGCTGCGCACTGACGCAATGCATGCTATAACAACAGGCGTGATTTTAACCCGACTTACCATCAGCTCCCTGTGGCTCAGTGGCAGAGTGCTGGGCTATGACACACGCGGGTCGGGTTCAAGTCCACACGAGCGCGTCCGGTATTTTACGCTGCTAAACGTGTTAGGACTTCAAGTAAGTATGGGTTCGAATTATTCTAATTTCCCCGGAAAATTTAGGGGTTGAAATTTAAAGGTCGTCAATATTGAAATTTCTTCGCAAAAAAATTGCAACTTTTTTTTCAATTAGGGGGTCAGATGTTGTAAAATAATTGAAATTTTCTCGAAAAAAAGTTGAAATCATCCGGAAATTGTATTTCATTTAAAGTGCAATTTTTTCGTTGCAAAATGCTACTTGGGAAGTTATAATGTTTATGTTATGTTACTGTCGAAGTTATAACAGAAAAAGAGCTTTACCTACCTTTTGCTTTACTGTAGATAGAAAAAAAAATTCATAAGGCTTTAAGAGCATGATTCACAAACATGTATAACTGGCAAAAATTAAAAGCTTTTAAAGAATGATTCATGAACAGGTTTCTTGGAAGCAGTTTTGTAAAAAGGTCGGCAACATTTTTTGTCGACAAGTAGTATGAAAATGGCGACTTGACCGCAGTAAATTATCCAACAGCGTTGCACGATGGTGCAGAAAAATATAAATTAAAGTACAGTGGTGTATGGCAGTTATTGTACAATAGGGCAACGCTGTAAAGAAGAGACGATTGTATGTTGCCCCTTCAATATGCGGGTTATGCAATGGTGTAATGTAGCCCCTTCAATATGCGAGTTATGCAATGGTGTATTCTTCAAGATGGCGGTTATGCAACAGCGTTGCCGGACGGTGCAGTTAAATAAATGATTTTTAATGGGTGAACTTTGGCAACATCGAATTGTACAGTGTTGCCAGATGGTGCAAGAAATCAGTTAATTTTCCGATACAATTTTGTGAGATTGTGCAAAAAATTCGGAGTTTCGGACTTGTAAAATTTTGACGGCATCCAGGATAGACCATATCTTACAGTATGGGTCTGGTATCGGAGTCTGGAGATTAGGGTCCTATTCGGGAATTTCCATTTTCAGTAGTGTGCGCTTGGAGATGCGTATGTGAACCTTGGGTTTTGCGAAGAGCAACTGGGATTGGATATTGCAATGTTCAGTTTGGTGAATCAAACATTTTCATTATTCTACAATTTGGTACAATGAACAGAAAAATCATATAAAGAAAAGAAAGCTACACAAGTTAAAATAATCCATGCTAATACATCCCAGTATCACTCGTTGGACATACATCGGGCAAAGAGACAGCGTTCTGAATAATTTTGGCGCGCTAAGTTGTTCAAGAATTCACTTTTCCTTGTCAGAATGACTAAAATAGAGCATGTCACGAGAGACCAAGATTCCTTATTCTTGAGGGGCAAGTTTTGGAAGTTTTCGACGGTCAAAGAGCGTCCCAGCCTTCTGGGGAGCGGAAGGATTAGGTCTTTTTCCGAGAGCCGCTCTCCTCTCTCTTGTGTACAATGCTATGCGAATCGCACTCAAAAGTCTGCATATCTTCCAGTCCCGTTCGTCTACTTTCTTGTACCCCTGCTTAAAGAAGTACATTATTTCATGCTCGTCTGCGACACGTTCTAGGAGATGGCAAAATCTTTCCGTTATCTCAACTAACCCATAACACCCGACGGGATCGGAAGTGTCTATTGAGCTGAGTTTAAGATGGAGGAACAACTTGTCAGGAAAAAGGAGTCTGGCAAACTTGTTCAAAAGCTCTGCTCGTATTCCTGGAATCTTGAAAGAGAGAGCCTCATACACCGTGTCCAAGGTGTTCATCGCTCTAATCGATTGTGATTTGAGGGTTGGAGCGTCCATACTTGATGAGCTCTTGTTTTGAAATAATCGATCATACTTCCTCGACACTATTTATACGTTCCCTGACTAGAATTGATAATTTTCCCCACTTGCATGAAAGCGTAGTTTTATATTGCTACTATAAATTATGACTACACAGTTTGTCCGAGTGTAACCGAGTCTGGTGATTAGCAAACACTACTATATTTACTCTGAGGTAAATTATAACTCTACTCAAGAGTGTAATTTATGTTACGACTTATGACTACACAATTTGCCCGAGTGAAACCGAGTTTGGTGATTAATAAATACTACTATATTTACTTTGAGGTAAATTATGACTCTACAGTTTCTTTCCACTCGGTATGGAAACTATATATATATTTACCTCCGAGTAGAAACTCGTCAGTCTCACTTTTGATGATATTGGAAACCCTCGAGCTTATAATAGTATTCACATGTTCACCCTGAAATCTTTTCAACGAACAGAATCTTACAAACGAGAAAATAGTGTTGATTTTCTGTTCCGACGAAATCAGGTGACCATTGACGGTTAATATACTAGTTTACGCTGAGTACGAGAAAGCTGATGATTAAAGATAAGGAAGGAATGCAGTTGAAATAGTTTGA